AAAAAAATAACCATGGCTATAACTTTTTAGCAGTTGATACTAGTTTTAAAATTTTAAATATTTTACATGTGCATTTCTTATGACAAGACCTTCCTCCGAGTACCTTTAATTTGACAATGACTTTGGAGTTTGACCCACATTAAAAAAAAATCAAGCCTTGGGCCAAATCCTGGATGGTCAGTTGATACTAGTTTTAAAATTTTAAATATTTTACGTAAAAATGTGTATTTTTATTATACCGAATAGGACCATTCTTTAAACGTGAGAAAAAGTACAATCTGCTTGCATATAACGACATATAGATGTGTTTGACGGGGAAATTTTTATATTCTTGAGATATTAGACACTCTTACATTTTTTTTTCATTAAAAAAGGGAGGAGGGTTAATTATCGATCCACACTTCAGGTGCCTGTGGTCAATTGCAGTTAAGTTGAAGTTTTATAAATATCAAAAAGAAAAGAAAAACAAGAGGCACATGGGCCACATCGCTCACCTGAGTAACTTTGGCCATTCTGTCATTTAACAGATTTCCCTATTACCTATCCTGACCTTGAAAATCTTAAAGGGTCATGATTCGAACGATTTAGAAGCTACTCTACCTCAGGATGCTTCCACATACATGTAAGTTTCAGCTTTTCTGACCCAGTGGTTTTTGAGAAGAAGATTTTTTTTTTAAGTTTTTTCCTATATATTTCTATGTAGAACTTGGATTTCCTATTGTGGCCCCGCCCCGCCCTACCCCCAGGGTCATGATTTGAATAATTTAGAATCTACACTATCTCAGGATGCTTCCACATAAGTTTCAGATTTTCCACATACATGTCAGTTTCAGCTTTTCTGGCCCAGTGGTTCTTGAGAAGAAGATTTTTTTAAAAGTTTTTTTTCAATATATTTCCTATATGTTTTTATGTAGAACTTGGATTTCCTATTGTGGCCCCGCCCCGCCCTACCCCCCCCCCCAGGGTCATGATTTGAACAATTTAGAATCTACACTACCCCAGGATGCTTACACATAAGTTTCAGCTCTTTTGGCCCAGTGGTTCTTGAGAAGAAGATTTTTTAATGACTCCACCCTATTTTTGCATTTTCTTGATTATATCTCCTTGGAAGAGGACTTGGTCCTTCGTTTTAACAATTTCAATTTCCCTTCACATAAGGATGCTTTTAACAAGGTTTGATTAAAATTGGCAAAGTGGTCCTTGAGAAGAAGTCGAAGTGAAAAGTGTACAGACGGACAGACAGACGGACTACAGACAATTTGTGATCAGAAAAGCTCACTTGGGATTTCAGCTCAGATGAACTAAAAACCAAGAGTTCCATCAGCTACATCGCTTACCTGAGTAGCTTTGAAATGCTGTTCTTTACCAGATTTCACCTTTGTAATACCTATTGTGACCCCATCCTATTCCATTGGTCAATTCGGAAAATTGAAAATCTACACTATACCCCAGGATGCTTTCTCATAAGTTTCGTTTTTTCTGGCCCAGTAGTTCCAGAGGAAAAGATTTTTAAAGATGTTTCCTATATATTTCAATGTAAAACTTGGGTTCCCTATTGTGGCCCCGCCCTGCCCCCAGGGGTCATGATTTGAATAATTTAGAATCTAAACTGTCCCAGGATGTTTTCACATAAGTTGCAGCTGTTCTGGCCCAGTGGTTCCTGAGAAAAATTTTTTAAAAAGATTTATCCTATATAGTTCGATATAAAGATTGGATTCCAAATTGTGGCCCCGCACTACCCCAGGGGTCATGATTTGAACAATTTAAATTCACACTCTCCCAGGATGCATTCACACCAGTTTTAGTTTTTCTGGCCTATAGTGGTTCTCGAGAGGAGAATTTTTAAAAAATTCCTATATACTAGTATTTCTATATAAAACTTAGGTTCCCTATTGTGGCCCAGACCAACCACGTGCATGGGTCAGGATTTGAACAATTTAGAATTTATACTACGCCAGGATGCTTCCACATAAGTTTCAGCTTTTCTGACCCAGTGGTTCTTGAGAAGATTTTAAAAAATTTTCCCATACATATATTTCTATTAAAACTTTGATTCCATATTGTGGCTCCGCCCAACCCCCGGGGGTCATGCTTAGAATACATTACCCTAGGATGCCTTCACATAATTTTAACTTTTTCTGGCCCAGTGGTTCTTGAAAAGAAGATTTTTTAATGACCACACTTTATTTTTGTCTTTTCTTGATTATCCCCCTTTGTAAGGGGACTTGGCCCTTCATTTTAACAATGATGCTTTGTATCAAGTTAAGTTTGGTTTAAATTTGGCATAGTGGTTCTTGAGAAGAAGTCGAAATTGTGACAAGTTTACAGACGGAGGGACTGGCGGACGACGGACAAAAAGTTATCACTCAGAACAGCTCACTTGATCATTCGCTAAAAAAAAAAAGAAAAATGTAAGAAATGTAGGTATTCAATCCCTAATAGCAACAGATTCAATGAAATTGAATACATAAAAGATGAGTAGGTGTTGAATACTAGGTACCAATTACATTTAAACATAGTCCCCATTTATTACTGTTTGCATGTAAGGGTGGGATCTGTCCTAATTTATGACCTTGAATTTCGATCAGAGTGAAAAAAATATTTTCAATTGTCATGATTTCTAATGTTTCAATGCATCTCAGTCCACCACAGTATTTAATGATATTCTTACTATTTGAATTTTTATTTAAATAAAAAACGTTTTCCCCTATAGACTTTGAACAATGCAATCTTTGTTAATTAACTACTGCTTAGTTAACGAATTTTTTAAAACTTTCTCGCGGGCAATCCTTTTCTACTATCAAATATTTTAAATTAATATAAGAGTATCAATAATATATAACATTTTAGATTTTGTCATTAAAGAATTACTACTTTAACACAAAAAATAGAGATGGCATTTACATTGTATAACCCTTTAGGAAAAAATACTTAGTTTGCGAAAATCACATTTTTAGAGTTTCAAATTTTTAAAAACAAAAGTCCAGAAAACAAAAAAATTTTGTAAATAAATTATGAAGATATACAAAACTGAGCAAACACTCCTTAAATTAATAACATGTACTAGATGGCCATCAATGGAACAACGATCAAGACCAAAAGTACATAAAACAATACAAAATAGGAGCAGAGCAAACAGTGAAACACGGACCTTCAAAACATCAGAGATGGGGCCAGGGGCCATGGAGGGGCGAGCATCCCCTGCCGATCGGTCACACCCGCCGTGTGCTCCTTGTCATGATCGGGAAACAACGGGAAAAATTCTTCGTCAATTCGTGTATAAATAATGGACTAACAGTTAGTATCTAAAACGTAAGTCAAACTCAATGATAAATTGTATTTGCTGACAAGGTCATTTTATCGGCCACACCGGTACTTGTATCGAACCCCCCATAGACATTTTTTTTCACAAATTATATTTATTACACTTATTCACCATGTGTGCAATACGAAAAAATCGTCAAAACCCCAAAACAATCACTCCACAAAAAAAAAAAATACCCACCATCTCCCTTTTAATGTTTAGTGGGGTATTTTTTGTGGAGCGATTGTTTTGGGGTTTTGACGATTTTTTATTTTTTTCATATTGTACACATGGTGAATATGTGTAATAAATATAATTTGTAAATGTCCAATAAGCCCCGGGGTTAATTTCGGGGGGGGGGGGGGGGGGAGGTCCTGTCCACATGCAAGCACCTGTGATCGGCCATAGAACCTTAATTCGAAATGATGACTTTAAACGAGAATGCTGGAAGTTAAATTGTTGAAACGTTTGGAAATAAATTTTTCATGTACAATAATTCTGCACAAGTGCCTGTGAGTTAGAGTTAGTAATGTCGGTAAAGTTGAAACGTTTGACTCATTGTCATGGCTCTGCACAGTCTGTCTATTTAGCAGCCAAAGCGAGTTTTCTTATTATTATAATGTTTTGATTGAACACAATACAAAAAAAAAAAATCATCCTTTGTTTTATTACATTTTGCGAAAAATAGATAACGCAAAATGTAACAAAAAAAGCATTTTTACATTTTGCTTTTTTCACACACAAAATTTAATTATGACCCAAAAAATCATGCTATAATTTACGTTTTGCGTTAAACCTGTGTTGGTCATGATGCAAAATGTAATGTTGCAAATTGTAATAAACACAGTTTAATAAATTACGTTTTGCGTTGTTATGACTTTTCGTTTTGTTATATATAGCATGGGTCTTCTTGTTGTAATAGTTTAAGATTTGTCTTTCTTACCATGGAAGTTGAACTAAAAATAATGTTTTTAGCGGGAAAATCAAGTTTCTGGAAGCTACAGTCTAAAAATGATCTTTTAAAACTCGAAAAGTAAAAATTTCAAAATGTATACATGTGAATTCCAGTTTCTTTTCTAATAGCCCGGAGAAGGAAAACTTTTTTAAAGTAAATAAACGAAAAGAATATTTATTTACAAATCGTTGAAGAACGTACAAAATTAATTTTATAGAATGTTAAAAGTAAGAGTCTTCGACAGTATATATTAATCAGTGAAAGATCCAATACATCATTTTCTCAGTAATAATAAACATGTAGTTTGTGATGTTCAATAGCGCATTAAAAAAAAAGATTTATGTTTTAAAATATTAAAGCCGTGCATGCAACCTTTATCTTGCTAAATCTGGAATCAGTTTACATTAATTCAGCTCGGGTCAAGGAATGTGCATGTAATTAATTATATTTGATTTTTTTCACATCGAATTCAAAATATTTCTCTGATTGTGATGCTCCACCCAGAAATATTTTCGTCACAACCCGGATTAAAAACAGTAGTCCACTCCCGTGGACCCAAATCCTTTAAATAACTCTGAATATAACCCCGTATATTATGAAAACAATAATATATATACATCTTATAAATCCACAATTATTTGATCGGTTTTACCTATCTATCTAATGATATATGACAATCAAAAGCTGACCCAACTTTAGAAACGAAACTATAATCAAGTAGCCAGTTGTGTCGCGTTGGGCACCGCCCACAAAATTGTTTTCATTCTTCCAGCAGATGTCGCTGCACTCGACACACCTGTATCAGGTGAAGATTGCGGGTGGAAGCCATTTATTGTGACAGTCTGTAAACTTTTCAACTGTTTATTGCATTGCACTACTTTGGCAATATTAATTCGCGAGAGATTTCGGACAATCAAAGTGAAACCGGTTTTGTGGATCGAATTAGTCGCGGCCTGTGTGCTGTTTGGTAAGTTACTGTTGGCGCGAAGTTGCATGTCCTTAGAAAAATCGATAGGATAGGCCCATGGATAATCAGTTCTTTAAGAAGTTTTGTATTCGAAAGTGAAAAGTGCATTATGTGACATATGTGTGAGTGAAAGTTCTCATTTGAGGAAATAAGGCACATTTTTCATTCAAATGTGTGCTCGTGGTCGAATGTCATTGAAATATATTGTTGAAGTCAGTGAAATAATGTAAACAAATCTGCGAAACCCCTGCCAGTTGAATACTGGTGACCTTTTTTTATGAATGGACACTTCATTTATCATGTTTGGTATAATTTGGAAAGTTATCACTGTACTGTTTAACTATTTAAAACAAAGGTTAATTTATGCAAAATACAAGTAGTGGGATTGCCATGTGGACTAACAGGTTTGTGATTAGGAAAGACAATTTCTCTCAGTGTTAGTGTTGTGAATTTAAAAAAAAGGTTTATGAATTTTTAAAGACGGGGGGGGGGGGGGGGGGGTATGTACTATGTAGCACTGAAATTTTCATTTCAGATTGGATTACATTTTTTTTCTCTATATTAACGAAGAAGTACAAACTTTAAATGAACAGATATGTTTGTTTTTAATGTTGGGTATTGACACTCAGTCTCCTAGTTCTTCCTACCTATACAATTTTTAGCTCACCTGAGCCGAAGGCTCAAGTGAGCTTTTCTGATCAAAATTTGTCAGCCGTCTGTCGTCGTTGTCGTCGTTTTAAACTTTTCACATTTTCATCTTTTTCTCAAGAACCACAGGGCCAATTTCAACCAAACTTGCCACAAAGCATCCTTGGGTGAAGGGGATTCAAATTTGTTCAAACCTTGGCCAAGCCCTCTTCCAAGGGGAGATAATTATGAATTAATGAAAAATTAATGGTATCTTTTAAAAATCTTCTTCTCCAGAACCATTGGACCAGGAAAGATGAAACTCATATGGAAGCATCCTTAGGTAGTGTAGATTCCAATTTGTTCAAATCATGACCCCTGGGGGTAGGGCGGGGCCACAATGGCTGATCAAAGTTTTACATAGGAATATATAGGTAAAATCTTCAGAACCATTGGGCCAGGAAAGATGAAACTTATGTGGAAGCATCCTTAGGTATTGTAGATTCAAGTTTTTTCAAATCATGACCCTCGGGGGTAGGGCGGGGCCACAATGGCTGATCAAAGTTCTACATAAGAATATTTAGGGGAAATCTTTCAAAAATCTTCTTGACTCTAGGACCATTGGGCCAGGAAAGATGAAACTCATGTGGAAGCATCCTTAGGTAGTGTAGATTCAAGTTTGTTCAAATCATGACCCCTGGGGGTAGGGCGGAGCCACAATGACTGATCAAAATTTTACATAGGAATATATAGGAAAAATATTTTAAAATCTTCTTCTCCAGAAGCATTGGGCCAAGAAACATGAAACTCATGTGGAAGCATCATCAGGTAGTGTAGATTCAAGTTTGTTCAAAGCATGACCCTAGGGGGTAGGGATGGGCCACAGTGACCCATCAAAGTTTCACATAGGAATATATAGGAAAAATCTTTAAAAATCTTTTTCTCAAGATCTATTGGGACAGGAAAGATGAAAATCATGTTAAATCATCCTCAAGTAGTGTACATTCAAGTTTGTTCAAATCATGACCCCGGGGGGTAGGGTGGGACCACAATAACGGATCGAAGTATTACATAGGAATATATAGGGAAATCTTCTCAAGTACTGCAAAGCCATGGTTAGTGATATTCATATGGAAGCATCCTCAGGTAGTTTAAATACTAGTTTGTTCAAATCATAACCTCCAGGGATAGGGTGGGGCCACAATAGGGGTAGGGAGGGAAACAATGTGGAGTCAAATTCAAATTATTATAAAGTAATATATACAAACAAAATGTTAAAATAAAATCTTTAAAAATCTTTTTCTCAAGAACTTTCGCAAGAAGTTATATGCAGCATTGATATGGAGGCATTCTCAAGTAGATTAGAATTCAAGCCCCCTCCCCTCCACCCCCCCACCCCCTTTGTAAACTTTTCAATTCGGATCTGATTTGTGCTTTTTCCTAGCTCAGATGAGGGATGTGGCCCCTGGGCCTCTTGTTTTTATACCTATCAGCCCCCCCCTCCCCACCCCCCTTCATGTGTATGTACCATTTATTATTTTCTTCAGGGGCTTATCTTCACAGTGCAGAATATTTGTTTTTATACCTATCAGCCCCCCCCCCCCTTCATGTGCAGGTACCATTTATTATTTTCCTCAGGGACTTAATTATCTTCACAGTGCAGAATATTTGTTTTTATATATATCAGCCTCCCCCCCCCCCCCCCCCCCCCCCCCCCCTTCATGTGTTTGTACCATTTATTATTTTCATCAGGGACTTATCTTCACAGTGCAGAATATTTGTTTTTTCAGTAAATTTTCTACTGGTTATGAAATTGAAATGGTTAGACATGTAGTCTCAAAAACTGAGTCCTAGGGTCAATGTCTTTGGATGGTTTACCCCAGAAAAGAAAAGGACTTGATTACATTTGGGCCAGTGATTTCATTTTAGCTGTAGAGCTTGTTTGTTTTCTGTGTATTATGATGCTTTGTGGAAAATTGGTTTGAAAAGGGTTTATAATTTTTGGTGTATATAGGTCGAAAACCTTTCAAATCAAGTGTCAAACACTTTTTTTAAAATCAGTTTCAGTAACAACATTACCTTTTCAAAGTATTTTCTGGAGGGTATTAAAGTTTCTTTCTGTTGGAGACTTTCGGAGCAGGAAGATATAGCTTGTATTATAGCAGGTTAACCATTCTATAGTCAAACTGAAACTGCAATGATGCATTAATATGTCAATATTCAAACTCATTAATAATTAATGAATAAAAAAAGAATGAAAAGCATCATGTAACCCTTCTGACAATTCTGCAAACTTGGAAGGGAGATAACTTGCTTAAATCCTCAATTACAGATTCTAAAATAATATCAGAGAAAAATGCATAAATTAAATGTAAAATTTCATCAAGCAATAGATTGAAGACTGTGTTATGGGGACTAATGGAGGAGGTATTTGACCTGTGATTTGAATGGAGACTGTTTAATAAGTGGTGAGTGGTTTACAGATAGTTATGTGTGTGCGCTGATCGACTCATTGGGGACCTGAAGGATTAATTAGATTAGTCTGCCTGTTTACCTGATATAGTCCTAGTACACAGCGCTGAGTAAGGAAAGTGACCTCACCTTCACTAAATCGGGTTAAACTTTACGCTTTATGAGTTATTTAATTCACTACCTTGTTTGGCAGTACTTGCAATATTTTCAGTGCAGTGTAGTTTGGAAAATTTGTGATTAGGTCTTATTAATTCATTTTGGAATGAATGTCTTTATAACTTTAAAGTAAATATTCCCTTACATAAGATCGGGATGAATTGGAATTTAATCTGATAGGAGTATTTGCACTACAATGATCACTTTTGTTCCGAAAATCACCCTCTTGTTTAAATCCCCGGGAGAAATTTCCGTTGGTCAACACTGAGAGACTCAGTGTCATATACTCTAACTTTGTTCTGTTTAGTGATTGGAAAATTTTCTAACTGAGGAATTTGATAAAAACATGAAAATGGCCAAGAATAGAAAAACTGTTTTATTAGGTCTTTCTGGTATTGCTTGGTCAGCTCTATTTAAATTAAAATTACATTTCTTTCTTGTAATTGATTGTTGACAGTAAAGAATGCTAGCCTTGACAATAATTCTTGCTGGAGCAGTATAGAAGGAATTGTTTGTCTTAATGAAATTTTTAAACTAATTTTTTTACATAAAAAATTTTATATTGGAAAGGTCAAGACATAACGACAGGTCATGGTCATATTGCTTCAATGACGGAACACACTTTGACAAAAAAATTCTTGCACAGGAATTTTTCTCCTCCGGGTCATTGTGTTTTAGAAACTATTCTTATTTACAACTAGATTTATTGTACCTCTAGGAAAAGCCTGTGTCAGTTTTGAAAGATAAAATTTATTGCTACTCATACATAAAACTTTCCCATACTGACTACTTCATATATTAAATTTTTATAAAAATGCATGTACTTCACATCTGTTTGGTCAAGGAGGACTCCTACACATACGTCATGTGCCATTTTTAATTCTGTATGCATATAATGCATATCTAAAGTAAATTGAAAACACTTTGGCGATGCACTTGTAATTAATTCACCTTTGCAGTGGTAACCCAGGTAAGGTGTCCACAGACACATGATCAAGCAAATATGGTGTCAATTTCTTCTGATATTCTTGTTTTTATACACAATTCATTTGACATACAGACAATGAATCATTTTAAATGACTAAAAATATGTGGTTTTCAAAAAATTGATGTATAATAATGAATGTCTTAAGTCAGACCTATTTCATTTTCTCAGGATAGTCTGTGTTCATAAGTGGCAATGATCAGAATAGAAAACTTCTCATTTTGCAAGAGGACATTTGCATCCTGGCGTTTTGAGATTTATTGAAGTTGTAAGGTAGCTTATAGGCTTGAAGGGAATTATTCAGTTTAACCTGTTGAAAGAAACTGCTTTCATGTTGAGCAATTACAGCAAATTATAGTCATTACAGTATTGAACGGAGATGTGGCAATAGTTCCCATTGAATATCACAAAAGCAGGTAGGCATGCAGAGGACCCTATTTTACACAGAGTTAAAGGGGCATAATTCTGTAAAGTTTTAAAAATAGCACAGATTTACTGTATGCTGTATAAATTAATTGTTTTTGATAGTTGTAATATATTTACATCAAGAATCTTAATTTGAAAGTGTGCACTGGTATATTGCTTTTTGGAATATGTGAATGTCTTTAATAAACAGAGGTATTTTTACATGGTATTTACTGGCATTCCTTAGTGTTATTCGCAGGGTATTTCATTACCTTGTACATTATATATGGTGGGTGATTTACAAAATGTTTGCTTGCTTTCTTGCATTATATTTCATTGAAAGAAACATCTGTCC